AGTGAAGATATCACGACACCCACCAAGCCAAATTCAATGAACATTTTTTTATTTGAATTCTACAGATTCATGGAATTCAAATAAAAAAAAAGTTCATTGAATTTGGCCTGGTGGATGTCGAAATATCTTCGCTCAAAGGTTAACAACAGTTTGGTGCAGCTCTTATTTTGATAGACGGTTTGGAATTTTTAAATCTTTGAGTGAAGATGCCTCAACACTCTGTTTCACTACACTCTAGGTATTTTTTTCTAATAAAAATTCTAATATTAGATTTCGGAACTTCCGCCAGGTTTCGGTTTCGCCAATTTTCGGACATTCTGCCAATTTTCGAACATTTCGCCAGGTTATTTCGCCAATTTCGGAATTATCGGATTTCAGGCTTCTGGGCGAAATATATTTCACCCGAAACACAAATATATATTATGTTAAAAATAATAAATAATCAAAAGCTAAATTTTGAAAATAATGTAAATAATATACTGTTTTTCATGGGTTAATATGCGAATGCAAAGCAGACAATAAATGTTTTTTTTTATATTCATTATCCGTAGTAAATATTCGTGAAGGTGAATAATATATTAAATACTTAGAACAATAAATTTAATTTATTAGGTAAAACTAGGTCATAAGATTATATACTAGTTAATAATACAGTAATAGATAACAATAATAATTAAGAATAAGTATCTAATCAAAATACATATAAACTAACAACATACTTAAACAATTAATTAATAACAATTAATTAATAAAATAACTGATTGATTATACATCACAAATGCAACTATAACTAACTGCCGATTTAGCGTCACATGTGGCATTGCATGCTGTACATATACAAGCTTTCGTTGTATGAGAACCAACTGTTAAAGAGTCGGCTGTGACTAAATCACATTTTGCACTACCACAAGATTTCTCGCCGTTAAGTACAAAAGTTTCGGAATCACGCTTAATGAAAGCGCTTGTCGAGGTGGCGACAAAAAAAAGAAGAATAAGAAGATAATATTTCATCTTAAAAAGACTATAGTAATTTGAAAAGGAGAGTAAAAAAAAATTTAAATATATTGTAAATTAAGATCTTGCATAGTTACAAATAATAAACCCATACCGGATAAAGTAATCAATCAAGAAAATCAAAGACCAAAATTTAGTTGGTAATCTGAGAAGCTTAAGAAAACCAAGGACCAAATTCAGTGGGTGATTTGAGAAGAAGCTCAAATACCAAGTGAATTTATATCAAAAAAAAATCTAAAATTAGGCTTTGCAACAACAACGAAAAACTATATAACAAATGAAAAATACACAATTCATTTTGACGGGATAATGATTCAAAAATGAGGTGACTCATTTGGAATTTCTTTAGAACATTTCAGTGATTTTGCGTATTAAAATCACTAAGGAATATTTCCTTTTTCTAATAATATAAAAAAATGAGGCTGCTCATAATATTTGGAATATCATTAGTATAAATAAATTTAAATGACTATTAAAAATTACTTGGGAATATTTCCTTTTCTGATAATTTTCTAAACATCAGATGATATCATGAAATCAGATGAGGAGATCAGACGATCCTCCGCAACATTTATTTATAGATTTTTTCCAAATTCAGTAAATAAATGCGAGTCGGAGATCCGATTATCTAATGAGCGCCAACTGCGTAATCAAAAGAAAGTCCGAAACAATTTTCAATTTGGTAAATAGTTTACTTTTTGATAATAACAAGAATATACGTAAGTCAATAGATCGGACCTATCTCCAATTGGGTAAAGTGGATAACACTATCCTTAGCATAATCACAAGACTCAAAAAAAAAAAAAAACAGTGTTGTAACCGTGCAGTCGTGGGAGAGACTTGGCTAACGTGAGATCAAATTAGCTCAGGATTACAACATTTGTGTGGATGTATATTCTTTCTCACGATTATAACAACATGCAACTTTTATTTAACATCATCCGACAAACTCATATGATCATGAAAAACTTTCTTTTTGTTATTTTTTTTTTTTATGTAATTACGTTTATTCAAATATTTAAATTGCGAGTAACTCCCTACCAATCATGATCATAAATTGTCGGATAACACCATTATTGGGCAAATACAGTAATTTGACAAATGATTGGATACGCGTACGAAAAGTGGTACGTGCTCATTTGCCAAATTACCGTTATTCGACAATTTTTGCCCAACAATGTATATTTAATGATTATAATAAAAAATATGTTTCAATATTATCGTTGTGTAGTAGTCACTCAAGAATTTTTTGTAAAAATTTTTATTCGAGATTTTAATTACTTTAAAAGTATTATTTTCTTAAGAATGAAATTTTATTCAAAGATACATACTTACAATTTATATTGATTAAAAATTTCAATATACAATCGATCCTTTTTATAAAAGCCTATTGCAATTATAACGAACATTATAAATTGGTACAATTTCCTAGACCTATTGGGTATATATAAAGTTGACCGTATTATAAGTGACCTTTTGCTTCAAATGTAAGCAGTTAAAATATTTCAAGTTCACTTCAAATACAATTTTAATTCTACTGAATTTTTTTAAAAAAATAAATAATATAATATAATATTGCTCTTTATTTACGCTTTTTATACAGTATCAGCAAAATTATATTGAAGGCTCTGCTTAAATTTAATAAGTATTGGTAATACTGTAGTATATATATTTTTTAAAAATTTTAATAACATAAATAAAGATTTACCCAACGAATCAAAATTTGAGCAGAAGCTTTGTTATATTTCTTAGCAATATCAACAACAAGAATAGGATCATTTAAATTTTTTCCTCTTGTAAGTGGACAATATGATATTATGTTTTGTATAAAATAATACATTTTCTTTTTTATTATTCCAAGGATGAATCTAAAATATTAAATATCTTTTTTTTAAAAAAAATAAAAATAAAATATAATAAAGACATGATAAAAAAAATACTTTACATATATCGTATAATACCTCAATTTGATTAAAGGCAGGCCATTAATTCCTCTAAATGATTTATATTGTAATTTAAGACACCAATACTTCTAACCTTTTCTTGCCTAACTAATTCTTGTAAGTTTCAATACGTTTTTGAGAAACAGGTTTAGGATTATGTATAAGCTCTAAATCAGCATGAGGTGGTTAAAGTTTTGATAAAGAACTTTCGACGGATTTGTTAGCAAATTCATGACCTTGAACCGTAATAATATATTTTCATAGAATAAAAAAGATGGCTTATGTGTTCACCATAAAATTAGGTTAGATCAGATACATAGATATTTGTAGATGGATGGCCCGAGTATAATTCCTACATAAAACATTTTCAGTATGTCATATTGTACGTTGAGAAAGTGGTGACTTGTAGGGTTTAAGGCTAAAACTAACTAAACTATCTAGCTAACACTCTAAAATTAACTAACGATGTTCCTAAGACTCCTAAAACCTTGAGGTAGAAGGCAGAAAAGAGGCGTGGAAAGACTTGGTCCTCGTTTCAAGGTTTCCGGGTCTTACTGCAGTGTAACTGGTGACTTGGATAAGTAATTCTACTTATTCTACTAAGTGTTTTTGTATTTAAGGCTCTATTTCAACACTAATTATCTCTTTTTGTGCAGCGGCGGGTTAATTTCAATCGTTAAGATTCTTAACGATTGTCACGTGGTCACGATAGAACAATGACGGGGATGATTTTTGGTTAGCAATGACGAAATTGATCAAGTTTATTTGATTGTTACTTTCAAATATCAGATATAAGAGTGTCTGATTACTAGTCGATATTCTCTCTCTTTTTCTCTTACTAAAAATCGAGAATACAAATTTGTCAAGATCACGGGACAAGAGAACTTTTTATAGCAACTTATTATGAAATCGGGGAAATAACTACTAGAGAACTAACTTATACTAAGCGATTTCGAAGTCAAGAACTCAAACTGAATTAGTTTTATTGAAGGTAAATTCTAGTTGCTTATATACTTTTAATTACATAAGAAAGAAATTTGCTAAACTAAATAATTCCTATCTATTTACTTTTTACCATTCACTTTTCGTTTCGATTTTGTTGATCTATACTATTTTTGAAATTTATCCGGTTTACCCGCCCGAGTTACAAAATTTACGGATTGTGATACGCTGTTTGCACAATTACCAGGAGTGGTAATTTAGTCTTTCACAACGTACCTGAGTTTTAGTGATAAAAATTCACTATTTAAGGTAAAGTTAATAAGGTTGTAAAGGTTATACAAAATAAAGTCATTTTACATGTAAATGTTTACTTTTTTAGAATACTGATTTTGGTGTCTTCTTCATTACCGTATCAAGATGCTATACCAATATGTCTGTATTCAGACTATATAAATATAAGGGAAAAAAAAAAAAATTCAAGAATAATTAATAAAGATAAAAAAACGAAAATAAAATCAAAATAAGAATCAGCCATTTTTTATTAATTTTAATCGGCATAATTTTTCAGAAATAAATTAAGAATTTGAAGTAAACATAGTAATGTGGATTTTATACCCATTATTCATTGTAACAGTTGAAGACAATGATAATTATCATGGATGAAAACGATAATCATGATGTAAACTACAGTCAGACCTCTCTAAATGCATAGCCGTGGGACGGCCAAAAATCTTGCATTTAGGGAGGTAAAATCTATCAGTGTCATATGAGTTGAGACCAAACAAGGCCATGCATTTAGAGAGACTATGCAGTTAGGGAATATGCATTTAGGGAGCTCTGACTGTTTATGTTTAAATAAATAAATTATAAGCTAAAAAAAAGATGTAAAGACTGTCGGTAAATTCTGAATTTACTTATACACGTATGGTATCGTTATTAATCCCCTGCCTTACTATTTGTTATTCATGACCACCTTCATTATAATTTCCCGCATGCCCGGGAATCTTTCGTGGGAAGATTCCCGGCCACGTAAAAACTATAATGAAGGTGGTCACGAATAACATAAGGCAGGGGATTATTCATTTATTTCCTGTGAGGAGTTTAAAATTACAACAGAGGATTCCACGTAATGCAGATGGCCCGAAGGGCCATCTGTATCCTATGATCATCGGGAACCTCTGTTGTAATTTTATAATTTTTAAGCTCCCAAGAAATAAATAATACTAATTTCCGATGTAGAAAATGAACAAACATAACGATGAGATACATGAAATACGAGTGAGGTCGAGGCAAATTTTTACGAAATTATTGTAAAACTTATGAACTAATTTTAATTAAAAGTTCTTTTCGGCCTGGATTTAATGACTACCCGATACAGATATAGGTGTCTTGAATGTCATGGGATTACAATTACTGGACCTAAACATTCTTTTTCATACTTGAATCTTGAAATTTTCTCTTCGTCTTTATAAACATTAAATTGAAACTTAAAAAATTCTTTAGAAGTTATGCCAATTTCTTGCTCATAAGTTTAGTTTGAGTATTTGTAATAATAATATCCAGATCCATTGGGGATTAACGGAAACTTCATTTCTGCTAATTCACATCGGAGATTAGAATATTAAAACTGCAGATTGAAAAAAAATTTTTTATAGCCATCTCTTTTTGATCATTTGTATAATATATAATACCAACTTTATTTCCGGAGCAGAGCGGAGGGACTTAAGTCCAGACATTAGTGAGGGAAATGGATTTTAGGGGTGTAAAATAAGATAAAAAGTTTTTTACAGAACTCAAATATCCAAATGAATATCAGTTATTTTAGTGGAATATGATACATTATAAATTTAAGTTCTTTGATTTATCGTATTATAAATTTATTCATTTCTAATTATTTTTCGGCGAAAATTCGTTTTTAAAAATAATTGTGTAAAATTTCAATTCCTATTATCCATTTTCATTCAAACAAAGCCTTTATTAATTTCTAATTATATTTTGATTTTTAAAACTTCAATTCCTATTCTTTGGCAAGATCGATTTTCGTTCAAACAAAGGCATTTATTTTTCTAATTATTTTTCGTTTCTTCTTGTTGAAGATAAAAAATTCGGTTT